GCACATATATATTTGAGTTATTAAAACTTAATTATTATTATATATGCATAATGTTAATATCTAAATGGTTTTATGCACATTTAAAATTTTCATCTAGAACCACTGATCTATAACTATTAACTTGTAGTCCAGGGACCACAGGTTGATAAGTATCAAGGAAACCAAAATCCATGTCACTAAAATTAAAAATATAGTAGTAGTTTAGTCTTGGAATGATCTGTATGTGTAGATATTAATATAAAATAGAAAGTGTATATGCTTTAATTATGTATTATGATCACTTATAACTCAAGACTAAATGGATGCTCATCAAATATATCAAAAAAGATAAATTATACTTTAAGAAAATTGTACATTATACTTAGCCATTTTAGTCCTCTGAGGTTTTAATGATCCTTTCAGCAAAACTTTTATAATAATCCTGAAATTTATGTTTTTTTTTTTATTTACTTGTTAATAGTAGTAGATCTATTTTAAAATAGCAAACTTTGCACAAAGATAAATAACAATAAATAAAAAAATATTGTGTTCTAAAATGCTCAAAAATCACATTAACGCATTAATTTATAGTTTTTTGCCATTTGTAAAAGCTAACCACGTCAAATTGCTGCTCTCAAAATATCTATAATTTTACACACAAATAATTAATAAGATTTAATATGACTAAAGTTATTTTTATTTGATTCATTTCTGTTTGTCATAATTCTCAATAAAGATTACTGATTAATGTAATGGTGATTAAATGACAGCACTTCTGGTCGTCATTTTGAATGCTATTTGAGAATGTGTTAACCGATAAACAGGCCCGCAATGTACTAAAGTTACAATATTTCGAATTAGGATTTTTTATAAATTTAATAATGTGGTTTTAAGTTAAATTCTTAAAATTATTTACATTATTGATCCTTTTTTCCATTTTTTTGATGTTTTTTTCTGACCAAACTTGACTGTTGCACACGTTGACAAACTCCTTTTTTTCCTAGTTTTATTCACTTTCTCTGTTGCGGTTGCTGATTTTATTTCTTTTGCCGTTTTTTTTCTTTCTTCTTAATATTAGAAACAACAGGAGCGGCAGGCACAGTCTCCGGCCAGATCCCGGATAAATCATACCTAAATGTTTCATGAAAATTTGAAATCTTTCTCCAGGTTTTTTGGCTGGCCAATTCATAAACTTTTTGTACATAAATGAATACATGTACAAGTCCGATAGATCCTCTGTGTAATGCTTTGGCAGATTTTTATTATTTTTTAGATAACCCCATAATCTTTCGATTTTTAGTGTATGATCCTGTTTTTGGGTTTTTCTTGTTCTAGTTAAGAAGGGCTATCCTTTTAGCTAGGACTTTGCCCTGTAAGAATATGAAAGAAGAGTTTAGGAGAGTTGATGATTAGGAGGAAGAGGAAATAAAGTTAGATAGGACAGTGTGAAATAAGAAATAGCCCAGAGCCCCTCCATGGAAACCCATGGGTGCCGCCTCGCATTTATTAAAATCAGAAAACAATTAGATTTGAACGTATGTACATATATACAAAGCATTAACAATGTTTATACTCCATCGTTGGGAGAGCCATTCGGTGGATAGAGAGCCTTACTCTCCTTAATTAATAAATTTGATGGCCATCATCAAATTTATTAATTAAGCTTATTATGGCTTTCATCAAA